TATTCTTCCTTGCTCCACATTCTCGCTTCTTCTTAGTCCCTACAAATTAGAACAGATATGAATACCACAACCGGTATCAAGGACCCATGAGTTAGAATGGGGTGAGTTATTAGATAAGATGGTGTAAATACCTGCATGGTTGGGTTTAACTTTCCCATCCTTCACATCTTGTTGGTACTTTGGGCAGTTCCGCTTCCAGTGAGCCTTTTCATGGCAATAGAAGCATTCAGCCTCTTTTGGGTCAAAAGAAGGAGTGACGAAACCTTTCTTGGTTCCACTTTAAGAAGACACATCAAGGGTCCTAGCCTTGGTACCCTTCGAAGAACTCTTTCTCTTCTTCCCTCGTCCTTTCCCGATTGCCACGACAAGGCCGGATTTGGTAGGAGTAGGAGTAGTAATAACCGTCTTACCCTTAAGACCACTTTCCGCAGTCTTTAAAAGTCCTTGAAGTTTTCTAAGAGTGACCTCTTCCTTGTTCATGTGATATGTCATGCGGAATTGATCATAGCACGATGGTAAGGAGTGAAAAATGATATCTATTGCAAGCTCCTCGGGGAAGTTCACATTGAGCTTCAGCAACCGGTCCACAAATCTTTGCATTTTCTGCATGTGGCCCATGATGGATTCACCATCCTTCATTCGGGTTGTTATCATGGAGGAGATGATTTCATACCTCTCTTGTCTTGCACTTTGATGGTATCTTTCCATCAAATCTTGGTGCATTTCAAAAGGGTAGAAGTCCTCGTAGGACTTTTGGAGATCGACTGTCATAGTAGCCATCATGATGCATGCCACCTTGGTGGCATCCCTTTCATGTGCCCTAAAGTCAACAATCTCTTGAGGATTAGCAATTGTCTCATCAATCTCCTTAAGCTCCTTATCGAGAACATACTCTTTGTCCTCGTAGCGGGTAATCATTCGGATGTTTCTGATCCATTCATTAAAGTTGGACCCATCAAAAGTGATTTTCCCACACAAATTCATTAGATAAAAGGAGCCATTAGGATTAGAGCCAGAAGCAGCAGTATTTGCAGACATCTGAAAAGAAGGAAAAGTTTAGTTTAGATATTGAGATAGTCCTTAATAAAACACCCAAATGTAGTATTAAGGCTAGGACCCAATCACAATATATTATACTTAGAAGAGGTATGCCAGAATCTAAGTAATAACATATTTGAAAGGTAGGTGAATGACGATTCACCAATTTCCACCATGAAAACGAAATATTGAAATTAGGTTTTTGATTGGTTCTTAGAAGTTCCTAGATTCTTTGAGATTCATTGAACTTTTCAATGGCATGTTTCAATCTCGGGTGTGCCCTCCAAGTTTTGTGACTGGGATGTCGAGGATCACAAAACGAGGTGTGAAGTAACCATGCAAATCACTTGGTAACCTTAAAGTATTACCCCTCAATCGATGTGTCGGTTAACCACACACGCTCCATCGATACTATGATAAACATTAAGTAACCCTTTACCTACCTTGTTAAGTTCAAGTTAGTGTGTCGGTTAACCACACACACTCCACTAACAACTTAAACAAAGTGTAAAGTGTAATTTCATGGATTAGCACCTTATTCATATTTTTCCTAAAGTAACTAACATTGGGAATTTAATAAAAGCATTTAGTTACTTCAATATATTCATCATACTTTTAATGAGAATTTATAAGTCCTTGTCCTACCCGTTCGACTAAAAACCCTCCACCGATCAAGGAAGCGGTGGGTGAGAGTGGACACCCATTAAGTTGTCATTTTATAGGCAACAACCTTATACCCCCCTTATAGACCGACTTCGTGAATGAGGCGTACTAGCGGTAAGACAACTTGATCTTATACATATATATATATATATATATATATATATATATATATATATAATTAACTTATAAGATTATAAAGTATAAGGGTTGAATTTTAACTTTTAAAATTCTATGGGTTGGAACTAAAGTTTTAATCAAGACTTTACTTGTTCGAAAACTTGAGGGCAAGTTTTGTAAACTTTCAAAACTTTTCATTTCTTGTAACTTATGAGTTAATAGAGTATTAAAAATGAATACTCTTCATATTTTATAACTCATGTGTTCTGTTAATGGCTTTTAACAAAGTGACTTTTGGTTTTCCATAACTAGAGGACAAGTTATAGACTCCATTAAAACACATAATGATCATGAATTAATCTACCACATAGGTTACTGTTAGGCGTGTCAAACCCAACAAATAAAGGGGTACGATATACTCCAAAATAATCCCACTATATTGCACTAAAAGGTAGTACAAGGCAAGCAGGGTCGATCCACAGAGACACAGGACAATTGGTCTATACCTATTTGCACAAGGTACTATGGTCACCAATAGTAAAGAGAGGGGGGTTTAGAATGTAATGATTAAACAAACAATTAAAAACATAAGCAATCAACTAAATGCGTGAATTAAATTCAGAATTTGTAAGGACTCCAACCCCATGTATGACAATTTAGCAATGTGACTCAAAGATGACACAATATTCGTTCAATTCTATCTAAGTTGGTACTTGAAAGTGCTAATAAGCTCTAACACTTCCCATTCACCATATTAATTAACCAAAACAAGCTCTTTGATTAATCCTAACCTTATTAACCTAATCTAAACAAGCTCTTAGGATTAGATTATAAGATTGCATGAAGCTTTATGTGAATGTTCCCAACAACACCCAATACTCCTCATAAGCTCGGGAGTGTAAAAGTGTATGAATAAGATTTACACTAAATTCATTCAATAGAGATCAATTTAATGCTTGTTACTTGTTCAATTTCACAAAACAATTATGGATTTTGTAAAAGAGATAACTTGAATGACCTAACCCTAATTCAAATGGCCAATAAGAATCATAATTAGAATCAAACATTCGATTGAAGCAAAATCAAATTCATTAGATAGAAATTAAGAACAAATATCATGTCATATGAATGAAGTCACTACCAAGAAGTCGAAACATGAAATTGGAGAAATTAGGGTTCTAGCCACACATGGCTAGAACAAGATCACAAGTCTAAAAGATGAAATTAAGTGTAATTACAACTTACAAAAACAAGAATTAATGTTTCCAAATGATTAACGGACAAACCCTTGCAAAAAGCTTCGAATTCTTCTCTCCAATGGTGCTCTGATATGTTCTTCTGTTTCTAAAAATGACCCTTAACCCGTAATATGAAAGATAGGAAAAACTGCCAAAAGTTGGTTTCTGGGTTGAACACGGCCCGTGTTCGAATAGGCTAGAATGACACGGGTCGTGTTCAGCAACACGCCCCGTGTTGATTTACATTAAACTGACACGGGTCGTGTTCAACATGGTCAACAGCTCCTATTTTGGTCAAACATGCCCCGTGCTCACTTTTCAGTGTAAATTCAACACGCCCCGTGTACCTCTCTGACTCCAATTCCAAACTTGATTTTTCCAACTTTTTCGTTCTTCGCCCGATCGTCCCGAAATCTTCACCAATGCTTCCCGACACTTCCCAAAGCGTGTTCCAACCTCCGGTTTACCTGAAAAAGATATAAAAGTGTGCAAATAAGGTTGTTCTAGAGACTAAAATGAATATGATAAAATGCAAGGAAAAGGAAGAACAATTGTGCTAAATATATGCATAAAATGGGACTAAAAGGTGCGCAAAAAGGTGCGCAAATAGCACCTAACAAATCTCCCCAAGCTTAGACCTTTCTTGTCCTTAAGAAAGAACAAGAACCGGACAACAGGACGATTTCTAGATGGCAAAAAGAAAAACTTAGAACGAAAAGGGGATGAAGGGTCCTAAAGGTTAAGAATGAATTCATGCAATGTAATGCCATGAAAATTAAGGTATGTACAAAATGCACTTGAGAAACAAAATGAATCAAAAGAAAAGAAGATTAAGAACAAACACAAAATATGTACTTTTGTAACTAAATAAAGGTACGATCAGACTTTACATCGATAGGGCTTCGATCATTGATACCTTGGCAACCATCTTGTTTCCTTCCACATATCACAGACTCTCAATGTGAGGAAGACCCGGAATGGTGTAACCCAATAATCCAACCAAAGTTTTATTTAATCTTTATACCTTACTAAGCTTTATGGGCAAAAATAACATAGTCCGGATTTCATGTCCTTAAGACTAGATGGCCAAGAATCAGAATCGACGCCTCCTTAAGAACTCGTCACGGCGAATCAGCTTTCGCTGAAACAGTGAGCCCACCCGAAGGGGCTCAGCTCCTATGCTTTCACTTTTTCAAGAGCCACAAGTATCATATCACATAGTTCTTCATTCGCCATATTTGACTTGAGTTGGCTTTTGATTTGATTGAACTTTGATTTGTACTTCGTTTTGAATTTGGATTCTTCAATCTTCATCTTTGGAATTTCTTTAGATTTCTTCGTTTTGGCATTTGAAGTTCTGATTAGGGTACTGGATATGATAGTTGTACCCTTCTTTCATTCTTGACTGTGTGGGTCTGATACTTAAGCTCTCTGTTACCGCGGGGGTAACGCGTGTCAACAAATAGGTCCGTGTTCTGTGGGTTCAGAGTTGCCGATAAAGATTCTTTTTAAACATTCAAAAGCAAATCATCCTAAAGCTGTTATTACCGTCCAAAAAACATTTCAATATAATTTTTTTTATTATCGGAGGCTGGAGTCTCGAATTACGGTGTTTGGGTCCCCTAGTTATGACAGCTGATTCTATGCTTCCGGTAACAATCCGGTTGCTTTGGTATTTTTCATTTCATGGAGCAATTGTATGTAAAGAGTGTCATCATCTCGTACATTTTTTTTTTTAAAGAAAAATTTGAAAATAAGAAAATGCATGCATGAGAATGAGTGAACCTAATATACAAGAAAAGAAAAAAAAAATAAGAGTTTTAAGGAAAATTTTGAAAATAAGAAAATGCATGCATGAGAATGAGTGAACCTAATATACAAGTCTACCCCTCCCCAAGCTTAAAGATAAGCATCGTCCCCGATGCTTGGAGAGGGTGGAACAACCTAAAACGGAGGTGGAGGAGGAGGATAGTAGCTGGGGTTTCGGGTCCAAGCCCAGAAGTCCTCCTCATGTTTGCATTGACGCTCTTGATCCCGAGCGTACTGGGTGGTGAAGGTGGAAAATTTTTGGGTCAGGCTGGTAATAACCTGCTGATAGGTGTCGAGGCGGGTATGGATTGATTGGAATTCGTCCATATATTGTTGATGATAAGGCGGGGGTGCAGCAAAATGGGATGAGCTGCCACCACCGGTGGGAGAAGCATGGTGAGGCTCCTCCTCTTCTTCATCATCATCACCATCTTCCTTGTTTTCTTCGCTTTGCTCATCTACCTCGGTGGAATAAGAGTGGGGGAAGATGTATGGAATGATTTGCCAATCGGTCATATGAATGGGATCTCGGAAATCAAGAATGCCTTTATTTTCTGGTGTGATGAGGAGCTTGGGATCATGATTTTGACCCACGGTCCAATGGTGTGTGCCATCGCCTGCCGAGCGGAAGAGTCGCATGGACTCAAGGACAGTAGTGGTGAGATAAGGCTCACCCGGCAGTGGCTGGTGGGGACCAGGGTATGGGGCTCGGATGTGGGCGCTCTTGGCGAGCATGCTAACAATACCCCCGCAAACAATCTTTCCCGATCGGGATGTGCTAAGGCGGATGAGCTTGTGGGACAAAAACCGACCATAATGAGGAATGAGGTCATTCTCGGGATGGGTCATTGCATAAAGGATTTTAAGTTCCAGCACGCTAATGGTGCTTCGCTCCTCTCTAGGGGCGACGAGCAAAGCAATGATTCTGTGAGCTACCTTAATCACAGGATGGATAAGTGATGAGGCTTTAGCAGCTCTAGAGACATATGGGTGTAATTGGGTGAGCTGGGTCCACCAAGTCATGTCATAGTATCCTTGTATTGGGTCAGTGGGACCAAATGTGTTTTCCGTTGGGGCTCCCACAATGGCATTGATTTGATCCAAGGAGATCTCATAGTCTTGTATCATTAGACGGAAGTAGAGGATCCCATGGTCTAAATAAAATGAGGATAGAAACTCAGCTATTGGGACTTTATAGCTCAATTCATGGACCCTCAACAAGCCGTGCCACCCTATGTTGCGAAACAGGATTTTGACTTGATTGTAAACATGCAACTCTTTTAAGGTTGGAACATGCGTGAATTTTTGGATGGCATGACCCCGTTTAAGGAATTACTCAAATTTTCCCTGTTGAACTGGGCCAAGACATACGACACAACAATGAGACGGGTCGGCTGGGGGTGTTGGGGACCTAGATGGAGGTGATGGAGATTTAGGCTTCCGACGGCGGGCGGATGATTTGGTTTGTCTTGGTCTTTTGGAAGATGTAGCTTCCATAGTCAAGTTTGGGACAGATTAAAAGTCAACGGGTCAAAATGTCAAAAAGTCAACTATTGACAGGTCCAGTCAACTTTGAACTTGGCCACCAAAATTTCGCGGGAAATTTGGTTTTCAAAGATTTCCAACTAAGAATCAAATCCAAATAGACCACAATTTCAAGTATTTGACTTAAGAACACAAAATTCAAAGGTTAGGAGTTGGAAATAATTTACCGAATCGTGTGTTGGATCGTGTTGTTCTTGATGGAAAAGATCTTCTTTAACCTCCCCAAGCTTGCCCCTTTCAAGATTGAGACACTAAAACACCAAAATCAAGTGAGAATTTTCGGATCTAGGGTTTGTCAAAACCCCCAAATCCACCATTAAAATGCAAGAAAATGGTGTTTAAGATGGAGAAGATGAAGTGTAGATGATGAAAATCAAACCTTTTTGTAGATGAAAGTCAAAATCTTGAAGAAATTGAAAGGTATTTGATGAAAATCAGACCTAAGGTTTTTGTTGGGAGAGAGGGGCTGTTAGGAAGTGAAAGTGGGGATAAATGAGGTCAAATCCCGATTTTTTTTCTTTAAAAAGGGGTGTAACTGCTGCACAGACACGACTCGTGTCCGCCTTAAGCCAATTCGACACGCCCCGTGTTGGGGTTCTTATGTTGAAATATAGACGAACACGACCCGTGTTGGGTCAAGGCCAAAACCAACACGACCCGTGTTGCTCTCTGGAAGAATTTGGGACTTTTTTTTCATTAACACGACCCGTGTCTGTAACATCCGAAAAATACAACCAATTTAAATTTTTCAAAACAACCTGATTTTCATTAAAATGTTTACAAAAAGGTTTTCAATACAAGTCATTAGAGTATTCCCAGAATCACATTGCTACAAAATCATGAGGAGCGGTACGATCGCGCCTTCGCCTTGCCACAGTCTCCTGAAGAACCTGAAAACATTAAACCACAACTGTAAGCCCGAAAGCTTAGTGAGATACCCCCAAAATACCAACCACGTATACGCCCTTCCAGGCTACGACCTTCCGGTCCAAAACATATAAAACATACATAACATAACAGAACATAGAACAACCATGCATATCGGGTCTACCGTGTGACTGGTCCGCCGTATCGGGCCTTCAGTCCAACGGATCCATCCTCCGGGTCTAGTCATGTCCTTCGAGTCTACAGTGGGGTTGGTCCGCCCGCATCGGGCCTTCAACCCACCTGGTCCACTCTCTGAGTCTACAGTGTGACTGGTCCGCCCGCATCGGGCCTTCAGTCGGCCTGGTCCACTCTCCGAGCCTCGGCACGTCTGGTCCGCCCTCGTGGGGCCTACAGCCTATCCGGACCGCTCGCTGGGCCTTCGGAACAACCGGTCCGCCCTGGGTATCTTGGCCTACAGCACAAAGCAGGACCCGCCTCAACCCATCTCCAGTCCAAACAACCATGTGCACAAAACATACATTCATATAACAGTCATAGTCAACAAACCGAGCAAGCAGATCACATAGCATATCATTACCCTAACCGGGTTACCGACCTAACCGGTCACTAGCATAGCATCACTCTGTATATCGGGAAAACTGACCTTAACAAGGCCTCCTAGCATGTACCATCCTAGCTACCAGGATGCAGACACATCAAACAATAACATAATAACCATAACCGAATCTCAATACAATAAAGGGCCGGCCTTGGTGCCTTAGACCCTGTTGATATAGTGAGGATAACTCACCTCGAAACTGCCGGCTGAAAAGATAAGATCCCGCTGCTCCGAACTCTGGCACGAACTCCTCCACTAAACATCAAAACATACAACTCAATAAATACCCTTAATTACCAAAATACCCCTGGAAGACAACTGGTCAACCTTGGACGAGCAAAGTCAACCCCTGACTGACCCTACTCGCCGAGTCATCCCGATGACTCGCCGAGTCCTTATGCTCAGAACTTCCCTCAATTAGCGACCCAACTCGCCGAGTCACCCCAAGACTCGTCGAGTCCAACAACTCTGAGTCCACTCGCACCCAACTCACCGAGTCATCCCTTGACTCACCGATTCATCGACTCAACCAGAAATATTGGGACTTCCTCGACAAGACTCGCCGAGTCCAAATGGACTCGTCGAGTCCAAGGCCATCTTCAACCTACTCGCCGAGTTGTTCTTCCAACTCGTCGAGTCCCAGGCCATCTTCAAGCAACTCGTCGAGTCCACCCATGTGACTCGTCGAGTACCACCGTTCTGAATCCATACAGAAGCATCTCAGGCCATGCAATTGATCCAAAACATAGATCCAACCTCCTACAATCCATCCATCACGTAAAGTGGCAAACTTTACGTGAATCTAACGAGATCTAAGCCATATTCACCTTAAAACCAAGGTTTGGGACATGGTGGCTTCACTAAGCACTCAAACACAGGAACTTTAATGCACTCTAGGCCTTCAATATTCCAGATCTGAGGTAGCAACCTCAGATCTATCCTCCAAACTCCAAAACATTCCAAGACATACTCCCCACAAACCCCAAAATGATGAAACTAGGAATGCACAGCCTAAGGACGAAGATATTACCTCCAAAAGATGCCTCAATAGCAGCCAAACTCGAATCCAAGCAAAGCCCTTTGATCCAAGCCACTTCTCCTTCAAGATCTCTTCAAACAACACCTCTCCAAGCTCTAATTTGCTCCACAAATGATCTCTCCACGAATTTAGGGTTTCTGGAACTCAAGGGGGAATAAGGGAGGCTGTGGAGGAGTATAATGCTCTTTATATAGGGCTCAACCCCGAAAATTAGGGTTTTCTCCATACAGCACCTACTCGCCGAGTCCATCTAGGGACTCGCCGAGTAGGCCACTTGACACGCGACCATGACCGCGACCTGACTCGCCGAGTCATCCATGGACTCGCCGAGTCATCCTCTAAAACTTACACTTTCAGCCCTTCAACTCTACTCTTGCGATTCCGGGATGTTACAATTCTCCCCCACTTAAATTAGGCTTCGTCCTCGAAGCCTTCGGCATCTCATCTTCAAATTACTTCCCACGACGCACCACTTGACCTTGACCGAACCAAGTCCCTCAAGGTACAACCATAGAACCAGAAGCTCACTTCTCTTCCCCTACGGTGTCCCCATCACCTACTCAAACCGGGCACCAGCTGAATCCCTCTGATAACCACACTCAACAACCGAGAATTACCCATGATGCTTTACTGCTCCAATTCTCATCCTTCACTTGACTCATGTGGCTATAATGCCTCGAACCATCGGATCCCCGATCCGAATTCCACTCTATCCATCCCATGACGACCGAAAGACCCATTCTTCCATTTCGGAGCAACTCCCCCGAGTTCTCCTCTCGCAATCACACACTCATGCTGATCTAGCTCTAGCACCCTCAGGTTTGGAAAAACTGATACACTGATGATATCCTCGAACATCCTTCCAGGATGAACCGCTAAAACGTAGCCAAAACCCTGATCAGAATCACACTGAGAGTCCAAGACTCTTTCTCTGTATCCCTTCCGAATCCCTCTCCCTGGCTCTACATCGCGGTATTCCCTCCGCGCCCAAAGCAACATATCAAGTCGAATGAGCTTTTATTCCACCGCCGCAACACACTACTCAAGGACCATCGACGGACCACTCCAATCATAACTCTACACTGCCGCTTTCACTTCCGTGAATTCGCACTCCCTTTTGGGATTTCATTCCTCCCTCTTTCCTTACCAAGGAACCGCTTGTCCGCCCAGTCACCATGACAGGCACCATGGTGCTCATCCCACGCTACATTACCTCTTTAAAGCGTACCCAACATCTATGCATCACCACTACTCTGACTCTCATCACAGGGACTCTCAAGCCCATGCACTACCTTCACTGCTCAAGATTGCTACCCGGGGCCAGACCTCCCAATGTAATCACACTGCAACATACGCAACCCATAACCTTAATCCGATCCAACAATACTCGCAGAGTCTTCAGCATGACTGGACCGCCTCCCCAGGCCTTCAGCCAATCTGGACCACTCTCAGAACCTTCAGCCAATCTGACTGGACCGTCCTCCGAGCCTTCGGTCTGACTGGTACGCCTACCGGCTTACAGTCTATCCGGACCGCTCAACTAGCATTCATCACTCCGAACCATCCCTTCGGGAAATCCTCCCGCACATACCGTTCTAGCCCTCTAGGGGTTCCGAACTCTATCTCCATCATACATGCTCGAACCCGTCCTGCTCCCATGCCTTCCTCAATCAACTGCTCTAGGTCTGTATTCCGCCCCGCACGCCTGTTACTCACTCATACGAGCCTGCTCTCGACTAATAGAAATACCGCTGAATTTCCCAAGCAGCTAAACAACCTCTCAGGCCCAACGATCATCCGGAGAATTTCCAATTCTCCCCCACTTAAGACACTGACAGTTAGTCACCGGTCGCCATCACCGATCTCCCCAAGCAACCTTGCAGGAATCGACACATGCACTCAAAAATGTTTTTCACCAACACCAACAACTTTCATACAATCATGTTCCCATGCTGCACAACCTGCTCGAAAGGAACCCAATCTTCAACTATCAATTCCTCAGACTACAGAATCTAACTGGCCTTCAAACCAACGCCGCATCCGCCACCAATCCTCACA